TTAAGGTTACCTATAGAAAAGGGAGCAAATCTACAGAGTACAAACTTGTGAGTTACAAATAGAAGGGCTTTGGAGGTGTTACTTATGGGTGTACTGGGGGACAGGATAGAAGAAAGTAGCCTCGATAAAATTCTCTGTATACCCTAGGCATTTTTTTTCTGCCCAGGGGTTGGATGGTACAATCCGAGGGCTGAGGAGCTCATCCCGAGGGCCAGATGGCAACTCCCATGGGCCGGGTGACACACCCCCAGGGCTGGCTGGCACACTCCCCCCAAAACTCTTCCCCCTAAGTCCGGACCCTGCACCTCACTGAAGACCATGTGGCCAGGGACAGCATCCCCAATTCCAGTACCGCCACCATTACCCCCCCAATAAGTGGTCATACTGTAATTTGATGTAGGTGTCACTGCCCTCCCCCTTTATAAGTGGAGAAGGAAACCTGAGAGAAGTGAACAGAATGCCCCCTCCCCGTCCCCAGATCTAAACAGTTCTTGGAAAGGGCAGACAGCCGATCAAAAGATGCAGTGCATTGAGCATATCTGCCGTCTTGGACATGCTGCCACAGTTAAATGTCGTTGAGTTGTAAACAGCTCACAGAGACTCTCATCTATCCATGTATTGGTAATTTTCCTCTCTGGCCTGCCCAGGGAAGCCCCAACCTGCCGCCACCGCCATCTTGGCTCCAAGAATTCTCCCCAGAACCAGCCCACTCTGCTGCAGTGGGGCGGCTCCACTGCACCAGCGGGAGGCGGGGTGCCCACTGTCCATCCCAGGTGAGGGAATCCCTGGGGTCTGGCAGTGGTAGCCTCATGGAGCTTCAGTGGCATGCGTTCGGCAGCAGGGGGGTGGGAACTACAGGACTCACCCATTCCTCCCTGGGAATCCTTGATCTCTTGATGTTGAGCCTTGATCCATAGGGAAGACCAGTAATCAATTGTTTAACTGTTTAATTATCAATAAACAGAGGTCTGTAGAAGACCATGGTAGCCCTCCTCCATGTGGTCCACTGCTCTGAAATCTCACCATGTTGTTTCTGCTGCCACTGCCATCTTGGAATCACTTTTTTAAAAAAATGGTAATAAATATGGATCTCTTCCCGTCAATTGGCCAGGTAGTTGTCCTCCAGATTTCTTGGGACAACCTTGTGAGTGTGTCCAGGCTGTAACCTGTTTGTTGAAATATGTCAGTTGGTATTCCATCAATTCTTGGGGCCTTATTTTTTGCCAGTTCCTTAAAAGTAGTTTGAACTTCCTCCCCATCATCATTGCCTTTTGCTAACATGATGTTTCATGATATTCTTGTGTGTCAGCTAACAGAGATTGGGATTTACAAGAGAATTTTTGTGGGACACAATTTAATCCATATCAACTCCTATATCTACTCCTACAACACACACACACACATATATATAATACTCTAATAGATTAATCAATGTACTATACACGCATCCCTCACTTATCAACATAGTTAAGTTCCAAAGATCAAATCATTATGTGAAAAGTTGGCATTATGTAAAAATGGAAAATTACCACATCAGACACAAATGCAAGATGATAGTATTATTACATAACTGACAAATCATATGGCTACATAACTGTTAATTTACATTACATAACTGCCAAACCACTGAAAATAATGTCCCAGGATGTTGATGCATAGTATTAGTCTTGCCTGGAATCCTGGTACTTTTTGCTGTTAGATGGATGGTGTTTATGTACAAAGCAGTCACATATATCTTAGTACTGTTGTGAATTTGAAAGAAAGAACCATGACACAGCTGTTTGTAGGAGTTAAGCTGACCAAGGCAGGAGTTTCCTGGGTTAAAACAATAGAGTGTAAAGGATGGAATCAGGACAAATTCCCTAAGCACGTATGGGCACAAGACAAAAGGCTTTTGATTCTCCCGCTGAAGTCTTCTAATAAGGATGTGGTTATGGAAAACAGGGAAGATCAAGAAATAAGGAAAGAAACAGAAAAATAAGGAAGGAAACATACTGCTTATGTAATAAGAAACTTCTCACTAAAAGCCAGGAGGATGTACAGTCTGGAGGACACTCAACAATAAGTTCCTCTCCCTTTAACTCTTGACTAACTGAAGTCTTGAGTAGTTCATTCCATCACTTGGCACTTTCTTGTCATTAAGTAAGAAGTAGATTTGCTGTACAAAGTTTTTAAAAGTTAGTTTTCATTCAATTACTCATATACATTTTGTTGAATTACATTAATTACAATTGTATAATGCCATTATTTATAACATTTTATCAAATCTTCACTGTAGAATACAAGTTTTATTTCTTATGTTATCCATTTTTTGAGAATTTTTCACATTTTGTCCATCATTGCTTCATTAGGTGCCACTGAGACTGAAAAGACTCTTAGTTACCTCTCCAGTGGGTTTTCAGAAGCTATTCATTGTACAGGAGGAAACTTCCCATCATTCTACCACAGAGAAATTGGTGGATTTGAACTCTGTGATTTAGGGTTGACAGTACAACCCCTTACTACTGGCCCACCAGAGTTTTTTTAATAAAATAAAGGCTGATAGTCTGTCTTTCTTCATCTAATATCCAATTGTTTCAAAACAGTTGCTTAAAATATGATCATTTTTCCATTGGATTGTCTTGGTACCTTTGTAAAAAAACTGATCAACCATAATAAATAGAAAAAGAACATAATGGAAATAATAAGAATGCTGATGAATTGTTATTATTGTAACCAATGTTATAGAACAATTTATATGAAACTTATTTTAGTTATGTAAACATTCACTTAAAATACTATATGTATTATATTTTTAAAAAATTTATTGACCAAGCATATATAGGCCTATCTAGACTCTCCTTTCTATTCCCTTAATCTTACATATTTCTTAAACTATTATAGCATGACAGTCTTGAAACCAGGAAATACAGTACCTCCAACTTTGTTTACTTTAGCACTATTAATTAAATGTGGCTTCTTGAAAAGTTAATGAATGAATGATAAATGCAAGAATTAATGTATTTTAAAAGCAGACTGACAATTGTCTTGTTCATTATGGAATACCTGTGGAAATTCTTTCTGTAGATTATCGCTCATGTATCTCTGTGACTTTTGCTTGGAGTCCATAAGTTCCAGTTTCTTCAAGAGTGTACTTCTCTCCACCAGTAAATATGCAATCTGTTCACTGGAACTGCACAAGGCTATTTCAGACAAACCTTCCTGATTCAACATCTCTTCAATCTCTTGGGATTCTGTTATAAAGAAATAATGGAAGCAAAATGAAATGAGGGCAAATAGCTTGCTAGAAAATATAGAATGAGTTATTAATCACATAATAATTGAAAGTTTTAAATTATTATGACATATATGAAAGTCAGGGATGTGTCCTAGCTCCATACCTTTTCAATCTATAGGCGGAACAGATTATCTGGGAGGTTGGGCTCTATGAGGAGAAATGTGGTATCAGGATTGGAGGAAGACTCATTAACAATCTGCTTTATGCAAATGGCACAACCCTGCTTCCTGAAACTGAGGAGGACCCGAACAAAGTACTTGCTGCAGAAGGTGAAGGACTACAGCCTTCAATATGTATTGAAGATTAACATCAAGAAAACAAAGATTCTTACCATTGGGTCAACTGGCAGCATCAGGATAGATGGTGAAGAGATTGAGATTGTTAACAGCTTTAGTTTGGCTAAAGCTTGGCTCCACAATCAACACTCTTGGGACTAGCAGCCAGGAAATAAAAAGAAAAATTGCATTTGGAAAGTCTGCTGTTAGAGACCTCTCTAAAGTACTGAAGAGCAACAAGGCCAATCTGGAGACTAAGGTACACCTGATATAGGCCATGGTCTTTGCAATCACTTTCCATGGATCACAAAACTGGACAATGACTAGGAATGACAGAAGGAAAATTGATGTCTTTGAGCTGAGGTGCTGGAGAAGAGTATTGAATATCATGGACGGCTAGGAGAACAAACAGGTTCATTCTAGAGAGGATGAGACCAGGCTGCTCCTTGGAGGTAATGATTCTGAAGCTTCATCTGACATACTTTGGACCTGTTGCAAGGAGGGACCAATCCTTGGAGAGGGACATAATGCTTGGGAGGGTGGAGGGACAGCACAAGAGAGGAAGACCCTCAGTGAAATGGATTGACTCGGTGACTGGGGTAATGGGGGTAGGTGTGTCAGAGACAGTAAGATTGGCAAAGGATAGAACAAGGTTTAGGGCTGTTGTCCGTAGGATCACTGTGAGTTGCAGGTGACTTGACAGCACATAACAACAACAACAACAACATATGAAAGCAACACAGTTGTATGATAATTGTGTAATTATATTTATACTCTTCTCTCTACTTCTCTAAGATATTCAGAAACAATAACAAAGAAGTAGTACAAAATAAGTTCTCAAAAGTAGGGAATATTCTTTTCCCTACATAACTTTTAAATTATAATGGAAAGTAAGGGTATATCATTTTTAAAATTTTACTAAGGACCCAACTTTGGGTTTATACATGATCACACCCTTCTTTTTTATTGAGCACTCACTATGTGACAGGTATGGTGTTAAGAATGTGAGATACAGATTGCTATTAATCCTTACAATAACTCTGTAAGGTAGGAATTATTATTATCCTTATGTAAAACGTGAGTGAGTACTGCTGAACCAAGAAGAAAAGCCATCCACCCATACTGTTAACATTCTTGGTGATTTCAATATTCGCATAGATTGTTATTCCATAGCCATGGTTTCCCAAACCTTTTACTACCTACTTTCCAAAGATCAAGTCCTATATCTGCTACAGAAGACTTCTTTTAAGGTGCTAATGAGTAGATACATCATGTTGAGGACTAAGGTTGTGTATCACCAAACCACAGTATTCTCAATTGCATGTGAAAATTTGACAATAAATAAGGAAGACTAAAGAAAAACTGATGCCTTGACATCAGTGGTTTTGGCATAAGAGAGAAAGACCACGAATAAGATTTATATTTTTGGAAAGTTGTAAACAAATTACCTTGCTTGAGTTTGAGTGATTTAAATTCATGTGTAAGCTGTTTGTTTTCTTTTTCAGAACACTGAGTAATTTTTTGTCTTTTTTCCATTAAGTTACAGACTTCAATTGCATCATTTTCCACCTGAAAAGAAAATAATATATGTTCTTACTTTTAGGGCATGGATCATATTTTAACACATATTAAAAAGAGGTGAAAGAACATTAAGTGGCCACTAAACTATTTATGAGAAAAATAGAACGCATCTTTCCTTAAGTGTGATTCTCTTCATAACCATCCTCCTGCTAGATACTGTGTTTAACACAGGTATGATGACACATAACAACAAATTTCAGGAACAGTACCAATTGCCAGGCACTGTATGAAGGACACACACCTTTCCTGATTTTGAACCATGCAATATTTCCTTGCTCTGTTCTGATGACTGCTTCCTGTTCCAAGTATAGGATTTGCACAAATACAATCAAGTGTTCTGGAATTCTCATTCTTCTCAGAGTCAGCCACAGTTTTGTTGTAATCCACACAGTCAAATGCCTTTGCATAGTCCATGAAACACAGACATTCCTCTGGTATTCTCCGCTTTCAGCTAAAATCCATCTAACATTGGCTGCAATGTCCCTAGTGCCATGGTCTCTTCTAAACCCAGCCTGCTATATGGCATTTATCTGATGTTTTGCCATTCCAGTCATTTTTTGGATAATTTTTGGCAGAATCTTGCTTGCATGTAATATTAATGATATTGTTCAGTAGTTACTACACTCTGCTGGGACACTTTTTTAGGAATGGGAATGAATATATATCCCTTTCAATCATTTGTCCTCTAGATTTCTTTGCACAATTTGGTGAGTGCATGCAGGGCAGCATCTGTTGAAATATGTTAATTGGTATGCCTTCAATTCTTGGGGCCTTGTTTTTTTGCCAATTCCTTCAGAGCAGCTTGAACTTCCTCCTTCATCACCACAGGCTCTTAATGATATGTTGTTTCATGAAATTCTTCTGCATAAGTCAGGAAAGCTGTATGCCAGGGATGCATCCTATCTCCATACCTTTTCAATTATCTAGGAGACTGGGCTTTCTGAAGAGGAACGTGACATCAGTGTTGGGGGAAGACTCATCAAGAACTTGCTTTATGCAGCAAGCTGCATTCAGCAACCTCACTTGCTGAAACTGAGGAGACGTTAGGCATTTGCTGCAGGAGGTCAAGGACTACAGCCTTCAATATGGATTGAAGCTCAACATAAAGAAAACAAAGATTTTCACCACTGGGTCAATTGGCAGCATCAAGATAGATGATAAAGAGATTGAGATTGTTAACAGTTTCAGTTTGCTTGGCTTCACAATCAACACTATTTTTTGTTTTTGTTATTCACAATCAACACTCGTGGCACCAACAGGCAGGAAATCAAAAGATGAATTGCATTAGGAAAATCTGTTGCCAGGGACCTGTCCATGGTGCTGAAAAGCAATGGTGTCAGTCTAGAGACTAAGGAGCACCTCATCCAGGCCATGGTCTTTGCAATTACTTGTTATGCATCAGAGAGCTGGGCAATGACTAAGGATAACAGAAGAAGAATCAATACCTTTGAACTGTGGTGTTAGAGAAGAGTATTGAGTATACCATGAGCTGCTAAGATAACAAGCAGATCCATCCTGGAGATGGTGAAACCAGGCTGCTCCTTGGAGGCAAGCATTTTGAAGCTCTTTCTGACATACTTTAAGTATGTTGTAAAGTGGGACCAGTACTTGGAGAAGGACATCATGCTTACAAGGGTAGAGAGACAATGAAAGAGAGGAAGACACTGCATGAGATGGATTGACTCAATGACTAGGGGAATAGGGATAGGTGTGTTAGAAATGATGAAATTGGCTCAGGATAGAGCAGGATTTAGAGCTGTTGTACATAAGGTCACTATACGTTGGAGTTAGCTCAAGAGCACATAACAACAAACAACAACTTCTTGCTGTTGTGTACCATTGAGTTGGAACCAAACCAGAGCTGATGCTCCTGTGGGTTTTCAGAGGCAATTAATAAATACGAACGTATAGATGGCATCAAATATTCAATTTTAACCACCACTCTATGTGGACTATTCTCTTCCCATTTCATAAATGAGTAGACTTAGAAAGGTTCAGGAGAGGAGAAGATCGAATTCACAATGTAGGTAAAAACCACAGAAGAAACTTGCCCAATGACAGTGCTAAAAGGGACTTACTAACTCCCATTTGATTAACACAAAAATTCATACTCTACATTTTATGATTATACCATAATGCTTTTATTTTATAGAAAGTACATTTTTATTTATAACTTTAGAAATCAGATAACTGATTAGATGCCAACTCATAGCAGAGAAAATACGAGGAGAACAGACCAGCTTGGATGTGCAGTCATCTCCTGATAGTACCCTGGGAAGGCACTCTATAAGAAATCACAACTATTGCTGTCTTTTTTCATGTGAATAGCATATTTGTGAGTGCTTTGTAAAATTACACAGTGATATTCAAATGTGGCTGTTTTGTGAAAGACAAAGCAAAATCACTGATATCTTGAAAATTTTGTGTTGCTGGCTCTTACTTCTTTTGTTTCTTCCATGTGCTTTATTGTAAATTCTTCTAACTTTCTGGTCTTTCTGGTAGTAATCTTCAGTCTGTCTTCACTGTATCAATATAAGCACGAGATAAAATACAGGTTTTCTTCCAAGGCATCAAGTAGATTCTTTCTTGATAAGGTGAAGTATGCCTTCTAATAGAAGATTTTCCTTGATTAAAAAAAAAAAACATGTATGAAAGTAAGCAAGCGCGCGCGCGCGCGCACACACACACACACACACACACACACACACACACGAATAAGGATATATGCATTTGCCTAGAATGAGATTCTCTACAAAGAGTAGGAAGGTCTAGTTGCTTATTGTTGTTATTATTATTGTATATCATAAAGTCAGAACTGACTCACAGCTGACCCTCCAGGGTTTTCAGAGACAGTAAATTGCATGGAAGGAGACTGCTCATCTTTTTTCCTGTGGAACTGATGATGGATTTGGACATACTACCAAAGCTCACTGGAATATTTCTTACTTTAGAAGATATGCAGCCGTTCAGCACTTTATAGGGTTTTTGTTTGTTTTTTTTTTTTGTATTATCAACAGCTGCATTTAGATGCTGGAGTCCCCATTTACTATTTACTAAGGAATTATTAATGAAGGGACCTTAGTGGCCTACTGGTAAGAAGTTATGCTTTATGCTGCTCAAATCCAGCTACTCTGTGGGAAAAGGATGAAAATCTCTTCCTGTGAGCTTAATTGCCAGCTATGAGTCAGTTCCAACTCAATGGTACCCAACAACAATAACAATCAAAGAGTCTGCATGATTTGTTGACTTCTAAAGTCATTCAGTTCTCCTATAAATCATGAACTAAGTTTGCCATCAATATTGTCTTTAATTTTTTAAAGGGAAAACAAATAAGGTTATGTAATAACTTTACTACAACATTAAAGATACCTGTTAGCTGATAAAATGTCATCTGTACTTCTAATGTTACTGTGAATAGGATTTGCTGTATGAAGAAAACATTACTTATGAACAGGTTTATCTGACACAAACTGTAATGATTTGAATGGTTATTAACATACTGTGAACAGTACATACAAGTAATTATATTCAATTTTACTTTTAAAAATGCAAACATTTTACCTTCATTGTTTTCTCTCCTTTGATTTACTATGATTTCTAGAGCTTTATAATTTCCCCAGGAACTAAAATTCCCATGAATTATTCCCATGAATTTTAGTGAATAGGTAGAATTTTAGTAACCGTCTAATATCCTGAAAGCAAAATGTAGCAGGTTTGAATCTATACTCTATTAAATGTACTGTATTTTTTCTTATGACACCCATTATCAGGTCACCACTTAAGGTTTTTCTCTGACAAGGTCTCTGAGCATCATAGTTATAGCACTGTGTATCAGAGAGGCCAAAATAACTCAAAAACAAAGAATCCTATGAGGATTATTTGGAAATACAGAAAAACTTAACAGAAGAAGCAGAATGCAAGTGTATTATATCTGTTGCTGTGCACCTTCCAGTCGAACCAACTCAGAAGTAATGCTCCAGGCGGTTTTTAGAGGCTGTCTTACACAAGGAAGAAGATAGCCCATCTGTCTCCCTTGAAGCTTTTGGTGGATTTAAACAGCCTTAGCAGTCCAATGCCTTTCCCCTAGGCCACCAGAGCCCTCTTTTTTACAACTGTTGCTGCTGTTACGTGCCATCAAGTCAACTATGACTCATCGCAACAGAGCTAAACCTTCCCCTATACTGCACCGCCCTCATGATCTTCAACAAGCTCCGGCCCATTCTAACAGTCACTGTGCCAATCCATCCTATTAAGAGCCTTTCTCTCTTCCTCTGGCTCTCTACCTTTCCAAGTACAGTGTTGTTGTTTTTTTTTTAACAAGGACTGACCCTTCCTGTCAACATGCCCAAAGCAGATAAGATGAAATTTCACCATCCTTGCCTCTGAGGAGCACCCTGGTCATGCTTCCTCCAAGATGGATTTGGCAGTCAAGAGGACAGGGTAAGTTTCAGGTAAAAGAAAATAGAATGCATTATGATCAACACCCTAGACATTAGTGAATTGAGGTAGACTGACATTGGCCACTTGGATAAATTATATGATTATACCAAGAATGAAAAATTGACAAAGAATGGTATTACATTCCTAGTCAAAAAGAACATTACATATCTATTCTGAAGTACAATGCTGTGAGTGACAGGATGCTACCCATACAACGAAGACATGTTAATACAACTATTACTCAAATACAGGTACCAAGTATTACAACTAGTATATCAACATTAAGCCCACAAGGAAAACAAAAAAGAAGGAAATGCATCAAAATGTCACAGGTTAAAACAACTAGGAGATATCATCTCACCTCAGTCAGAATTGCAAAATTAAACAGAAGAGCAAACATCAAATGTTGGCGAGGATGTGGAGAAACTGGAACCCTTATTCACTGTTGGTGGGAGTGTAAAATGGTGCAACCACTATGGAAGACAGTATGGTGCTTTCTCAAAAAGTTGCAAATAGAAATATCATTTGACCCAGCAATTCCATTACTG